GTGTGTGTGTGTGTGTGTGTGTGTGTGTGTGTGTGTGTGTGTGTGTGGATATCTTCTGCCTGTGGGTATTGGGATGTTCATAGTAGAAAGACTTTGTTTGAACTCTCTGGCTGTGAGTTTTCCATTAGGGTCCAGGCAAGAAGAATGAGGACCTGAACTAGAATGGGAGTGACAGGGGACAGAAGACATATCCAAGAGGTGTTGTGAAGGTAGAAATGACTAGTCTGGGCAGTGGATTGAACACGTGGGGTGAATGCAAGGGAGAGTCTGAGGGTGACCTTGATGTTGTGATCCTGCGTGCCTTGGAGGATACGATACCCTTCATAGTCGTAGGGAATTTCAGGAAAGTTGGGAGACAGGAGGGAAGTGATGCCTTTTTTGGGGAGTTTGGGATGCCTACAGGACATCCTGCCACCAAGGATATTGGTTTAAGTGTAATCAGATGCTGTCGAACCTATTTATAGAGATATTTAGAAATATGTAAATAAGCATTTTCTTTGTCTATGGAAATGACTGGACTGTTTTTCAAAGAAATTGGTTTTGTTGGTTGGTTAGATATTTTTTTTTCCAGAGACGCTATTTCCAGAGAGCTCAAGCAGCTCATTAAATGCTGTTCTAGAAATAGATGCAATTTCACAGATGCTTCGTTTCACTTGGAATGGTTTTCTTAAAGACTGAAAACAAGTTTGAAGAGGACAATTTAGTAGGACAGACACCGAAAAAAAAAAACCCTAAAAAACCTCTCAGAACACAGAAGCCTGTCTTTCTGTCCTGCCCATGGTTTGATTTGCAAAAACATAAGGAAACCTAGTCAATGGCATAATTATCCTGATGAACACCTGCCTTGAATTATCAATTAATTTCCTAGCTTTGGCTCTTTGATTGTGGCTTCCAGCCTCCAGGACAAAGCCAGCCATGCAAGTAGTTCAGGGAACCCGCAGGGACCTTGACATCATTTGAACACCATTGCCAATGCTCCCTAGATTGACCATTGCGACAAAGTACCAGGATGTTGGCATTCCCACACTTCATCATTCACCATGCAGTCACAAAGTTTGTGATGAAAACTCCAAACTGCAAGAGGAAAAAAAAATCTCACAACTCATCCCACACCCTCTCTTTCCAAGGAATGTGATGTGAGATGTGTGTCCATTGATGTATAAAGCTTCCTAAGTGGTCTTTACTTAAGGTTTTTTGAGGGGGCCTAATTAGCCAGCATATTTAATTGAAACCCTGAGTAGTTCAATGGAAAATAAATGGAAAAGCATAATGGATTTTCTCATCTCCATGTATTAGAACAGGAATGGTAAAGAGGCATGCAAGAAAGAGGATTTGGGTACCTGCAGCTGACAGATTGAGAGAGTGGATTTATTCCATGGCTACTAAAAAAAAAAACAGAGCTTGCAGGTGAATAGAAACACAATCCACCAGCATAGCATGGAATACTGGAAGTTTTTCCCCGGGGTGGGGGGGGGGGGAAATCAAACAAATTCTTGCTGATAGATGTAGCTCCTCAGCAGTCAGGCCAAATTCAGAGGGAAAGAGATCCTGGTATCAGATGGACCTGACAACCAACTTTGGGACTGGCAGACTCCTTAAGTGAATGATGCAGCTCTCTCACAATGATGTGGTCTTCCCCACCATTTGAGTATATCCATCTAGTGCGGTATAGCATGTTTCAAGGGCCACAAATATTACCTAGTGAAAAGAGTGGTTAGATTGGCTCTACATTTTCACAGCATTTAAAAAATATGAGTATCTCTTTATCCTATTTTTGTAAAATTCCTTATAGGACACTTATTACTAATCACTGAAATTCATTAAGTATTTCAATGCCCAGATGTTACTTTTAGGCTCACAACTCTTGATAAATTTCTCTTTAAAGATGTTGTTAATTGAGTATCATCAAATATATGTTGCCAATTACCATTAGGCTAAAATCTCTTTTCTTTTAATTCTGAATTGCTTGAAGTCAAACTGTTTAATGAATGGATTGCTTTTGGTGCTTACTCCGTGCTTCCTAGGTAATGATACATATATCAATCAATCAACATTAATAAGCTACTATGACGTGGCAGGCACTGTGCTAAGCTGTGGGGCTACAAAAGAGGAAAAGACAGTCCTGAAGGAGCTTACAATCTAATAGGGGAGATAACATGCAAGCAAATATATACAAAGCAAGTTATATATAAGATAAATAAGAAATATAGTTGGTCCATCCTCATTATTCACAGATTCCATATTTGTGAATTTGCCCACTTGCTAAAATTTTTTTGTAGCCCCCAAATCAATACTCATGCTTTCACCATCATGCGCATGCAGAGTGCCGGACCTAGCTGAGATTGAACAAGGTGATGTTCTGTCTTCTTGTTTCTGTTTTCGTATTGTAAACAAGTATGCTTTTTGTGATTGATTTAGTGCTACATTTTTTGCACTTTTGTGGGTGATTTCACTGTTTAAAAGTCCCTAAGCGTGGAAGTGAAGTTCTCTCTAGTGTTTCTAAGCACTGGCCTAATGGAGAAAACCTATGTATTAGATAAGCTTCTACCACTGTTGTCTGTGAGTTCAATGTTAATGAGTCAACAATAGGGTATAGCCAGAAAAAAGAAGAAGAAATTTGTTGATCTATAAACGAGGCCTCTTGGGGAAAGTGCTGAAGTAAATGTTGTGACCAGAGGCTCACAGGAACCTAAGTGCGTATTTCTCCTAGGAGCAATGGTTCAGTATTTGCTAATTCAGTGTTTGTGGCAACTTTATAGAACATAACTACCTCAAATGATGGGAATCAATGGTAATTAACAGAGAGAAGTCACTAGAATTAAGAGGGATTGGGAGAGGCATCCAGTAAACTGTAGGATTTTATTTGAGACTTAAATGAAGCCAGAAGTGACAGTAGGGGAGGGACAGTGTCACAAGAATGGGGTCAGCCAGATAGAATTCCTGGAGCCGGGAGGTGGAAGATCTTGTTCGTGGAACAGCCTGGAGGTCAACGTCACTCGATCAAAGAGTACATGTTGGGGAGTAAGGTTTGAGAAGACTGGAAAGGGAGGAAGGAACTTGGTTAGGGAGAGCTTTGAATGCCAAACTGAGCATCCTGGAGGTCATAGGGAGCCCCTGGGATTTATCGAGTAGGAGAGGGTGACATGTTAGGACCTGTACTTTAGGGAAATCACTTCAGTGGCTAAATGGAGGATGGATTAGTATGGGGAGAGACTGGAAGCAAGCAGACCCACAAGCAGCTATGGCTTACAGTAATCAAGATATAAGGTGATGAGAGCCTGCACTAGAATGGTAGCAGCATCAGAGGAGAAAAGGGGGT